TACTGTATGTCTAAGATCTAGAAAAACCGAAGTGAACGGAGAAATTCATGGAGGTAGGCCTAGGCCCACCGGGGCTGTAGTGCCAAGGGGGAAAAAAATGCAAAGTTTAAATGTTTAAAAGCACCTGTTTCTCACGACCAGTTTCTTTAAAGCCCACTTCAATACTATCCTTCTTTCTATGCCTAGATCTACAAAATATTATCATTTATTTAAATTCACAGATTAAGGTTTTGCTTGCAGTTACCATACGTAACAACGCCCTGCTCATCATATCACTGAATAAGCAGCTCGACCAACTCTAGTTCCACTGTTAAATAAATCTCATCGGTTTTTGAAGTAAGGAATGCGGAGACCGACATTGTTACGTCAGCGTGTGCGGCATTGTTGCGTGTCTTGCAAGCGAATCCGGCCGTGGACCGGTTCCACCACCCTATGCTTTTACTTTCCTAGACCTCCGTCCCACCCAACTCGGACTGCCCACTCAGTTCCTTTCAATCCCAAAATTTCCTTCTCCTTAACTTCCACGTGTGACGTCGAATGAGCTCCTTATAAGAAGGCGCCCCTCTCTGTGGGATCACAGTTTCATCTCGACGCGCCAGGTGGCAGGCAGGAGCAATGGGCATTAAGGTAGGATCCGTGTTGATGCAGCGACTGTGACACAGTGCATCTGCTATTATGCGTCCTGACAGTGTTGTTTTTTTTTATTATTTCCACTTATCGATACAGTTAAACGTATTTCACTGTCTCATGATACAGCAGCTGTTATACTACTGTAAATTTAACGAGGTTAGGAGCTGTATTTTCACAGCGAAGACTCGGGTTCAATCCTGGGCGATTTCTTGTGAGATTCGAGTTGATCTATGTGATACTGGAACATGTGTTTCTCTGATTTCCTTCGGTTTTCCCCTGCTGATTACCTTTCAACCATTACTCCATATTCATCTCTCACCGCTTCCTTAGGTGTCCGGTGGTCCTGTCGAGGCAGCGTATTATCATATACTGCGTTTCTATGTTGGGGGTTTTATCTGTGACGTGGGACTTGGCTTCTTATACAGTAACAAATTCAAGTTTATTTACTGTAAAGTTATTTCTGTATGTATGTATGTATGTATAATCAACTCTTCATATTTACATATGTTCTCCTTTTATTATACGATACTTTTGTAATAGTCTATTAATTGCAGTTATACAAAACAATTAAAATAATATCTATAATTTAGGAAAGCATTATAAGCCTAAACGACAGTAATGGCAGAAGACTGACACTCACTCACTAATTCGTGGAGCTGAACCCTCCTTGAGAAGCCGCCAATTCTGCAGCTACTCAACAACTTCCCATTATCTTATGGAACCCAATGGTTCATTACCGCGTTCACAAGAGCCCCCACTGGTCCCTATCCTGAGCCAGATCAATTAAGTCCACACCATCCCATCCTATTTCTCTAACATTCATTTTAATATTGTCCACACACCTACATCTCGGTCTTTTTGTGGTCTCTTTTCTTCTGGCTTTCCCATCAACATCCTATATGCATTCATCTTCTCCCCATTCGTGCTGTCCATCTCATCCTCCTCAACTTGATCATTCTAATTACATTTGACGAAGAGTAAACGTTATGAAGCTCCTCAATATGCAGTTTTCTCCAACCTCCCGTCACTTCATCTCTCTTCTATCCAAATATCTTCCTCAACACCCTGTTCTCAAACACCCTCAGTCTATGCTCCCCCTTAATGTCAGAGACCAAGTTTCACACCCATTCAGAACCACAGGCAAAATGAGACGAATGCTACATTAAGACTAATATTCATTACTTTGAAGCAAAAGCGCAGTACGTAGTCAACATGAGCTGAATGCAATTACAGACTGCAACGCGTCGTCTTACAATAGTACAGACCGCAATTTACAAACGAGAGTCTAACGACAGAGTCATGGGGGTGATAAGTGGAGGAAATGATGCTGCCTAATTTAATAAAAATCACTAAGAAAGAGAAACGTAATATAATTGGTGTCGAAGAAATGTCATTATCATACTTAAGAAGATTTATTTCTGCAAATATTGATATTTGATATTGTGAATTTTTTGACAGACAGGAAACTAGAAGCTTGGTTGACTGTGATTTAAATCTTTATTTAATCTATAATACGTCACTTACATGCCATAAAGATTCGAAATTCATTATCATTTTAAATGCTGAAAACGAAATATCGTTTCTGGTGCATTATTTCCTCGCCACTAAAAATATATGTTTTGAGGGGTTCTTGAAAATAATGTTTTTAATGAAGGAACAACAACAACAACATAATAATAATAATAATAATAATAATAATAATAACAACAATATTTTTGTCCATGAAATGACAAAGGGACACAAAAGAAACATATTCGTGAGGCCAAAATTTGGCGATATCTTCCACGGTTTCTTCAAAAAGGTCACAGATATTAAGTATAATTTGTCATGTAGGTCGCACCATAGCTCAAGCGGTTAGTCGCTGGCTTCCTAAAGGGGCGGCCCGGGTTCGATCCCGGGTCTGGTCAAGTGGAATTTGTGGTGGACAAAGTGGCTCTGGGACTGTTTTATCCGAGTACTTCGGTTTCCCCTGCCAATCTTCATTCCACCAAATTCTCCATCATTATAATCACCCGGAGCAGGCTTCAATAGGACAATCAGTGGCCGCCGTGCCGAGTGGACCCAGTTGGACTCTACCCCTCACTATGCAAATTAAAAAAAAATAGTTTGTCATGTAAGAGGCTAATTAGTTGCGATCACTTCCTCAAGGGCTTTACATTTCCTTCCTGGCCGACTTCTGCATTTGATGGAGGTCAGTTGTGGACATTCGTGTGACCGTCGACGACTTATAGTTAATTTGATAGATTCTTGTCGTAGAGTGTCCTGGGAAAATCTTAATAATGGCGGCAATAGAGATGAAAGGCACACATAAGAAAAGATAAAAGCAAAATATAAAAATTAAATGTCAGAGAAAATATTAAAATCGAAGTATATAAATTAGCCCTGAATATTC